AATTCGGCAATCTTGTTGATGTTGTTATCAATCGCAGCGATACTCGTTTGCAGCTCTGTGATGTCGTTGAGGAAGCTGACCATATCCCCTTGGCCATTGTCAAACTGTGGCTGCATCGGTTGCATTTCGACCACACCCGGTGCCGCCTCTGGCATGTAGCTACTCTTGTAGCCGCCGCCGCCCTGCTGCTGCTGCCCATATGAACCTTGGGTCTGCGCGTAAGCAGGAGGAGCTGGCGCCTGCTGCTGCTGCTGGCCATAAGCTCCTTGCTGGTCATAGCCCATGTGACGTCCGCCGTACCCGCCTTGCACAGGCGGTGCGCCATACTGGCTTCCCCCGCCTCCGTACGCTCCTCCCCCGACGGGATGCGAGTTGCTGCTTCATTTCCCCGACGGTGTCAAGCCCGTGTCAGCTAGGTTTCTGGCAGATGTAGGGGGTGTCAAGCTTGCTCACCCAGTGTCCCCATAGCCTCCCTGCGGAGCGCTGCCTCCGTACGCTCCGTATCCCCCACCGTGGGCATCTTGCTGGGCCTACAAAAAGGAGCGATTCGTCAGAGGTATGAAGCATTGTGAGCCGCTTGGAAGATTATGTTAACACTCACCCTCATGGCCGCCAATCTATCGCGGGCCATCCTTGGTGCTGTATCACCGTCTGCCGTGCTAAAGTGTGGTGTGGGGTGGGTGGCCGGGTGAGCAGACTCGTAGCTGGCTGCGTGGTTGTCTGGCGAGCAGGGTCGCAAAGGAAAAGGTGGGACGAGCTGGTCCAGCAAGCCAGTCTCTCAGGAGTCTCTTCAGGGAGGAGAGGGTGGGGCAAGCTGGCGCTGCTGCAGGTTTCTAGTATACCATCAAATGTTTCCCCGCAGGATGGAGGGATGATGGCTAGGAAGCACGTACGGGATGGGCGGTGGTTGGTTCGTTGTGGATGTTCGATGGGCTGTGCTGACTGCTGAGGCACTGCGCCAGTCAGAGCTGTGGGTGTAGCAGAAGCAGCGCGGCTGTGCACACGCAAACTGCCGCTGCCACTGCACTCTCCATGTCTCACATTCTCTCACTCGGCGCTCAGTCTCGCGCTCTCTGGCCACAGTGAGAGTGTACTTGGTATTTTGTCCGCTCACAAGTCGAAGCTAGAGATGTGTGTGCGCTTCGAGGACATCGCAGCTACAAAGCCAAGTATACGCTCAAATGGCTGGCTGGCCAGCCTGTATACATCCTCAGCACTCAGAAGATGCCCCAAATGAGACAGTGCACTCATACCCACCCTCCAGACTCTAGCCTAACAGGAGCGACTCGCAGTCGGGAGAGCGTCATGGATGTCATCTTTAGACAGATAATGGCAGTGACCCATTTCTATGCTATGTACCAGGAATAGGATGGGATGGAATGGCAGGTGAAGAAAGCATGCATATGAGCACGCAGTCGTGCGCTCGCTTTCGTGAGGCTCGCCATTCATTTGCATCGTTGCGTACCTGCTATCTTCGATTCAAGCGGTCATGTAATGTGGTAGGCAATGAAAACCTGACGGTAAATGAGAATGCAGAGCCTGTCGTGACTATTCCGATTCAGATAGATGGAGCGAGCGATGGCCGCACAGGTAATGGGAAAGTCGGATCGATGTGGCCGCACAGATAATGGGAAAGTCGGATCGATGCGGCACTGTCCGCCTCTGATGGCTGAGGACCATGCCAGCGTACCTCGAATCGTATAAGAGCATGGTCAGAGTGACCCGTAACGCCATGTGATCATGGCATGCAACTATCATAGCAAGACACCAAAGTCTCTTGCCATGTGATCCATCGTCTCTTGGTGTGCATTAGCTGACCGTTCTGCGAGAGTCGAGAGCAGCAACAGCGACCGCCCTTGGAGCGTGTTCGATTGACTGTGTGACTTGCATTTGCCCTGGGGCCCGCAAATGACGCCAACAACTATGCCGGCGATGATGAGCAAGGTGATGATGGTGAGCCAGAAGCAGCAGATGCGCTTCTTGCGCGCCTTGCGCGCGCTGACTACCGCCTTGTTCGTGCTCTCCAACCCGCCCTTCATG